CTCTCTCTCTCTCTCTCTCTCTCTCTCTCTCTCTTCCCCCTTTCTCTCTTTCTCTGCCCTGAACCCAGGGCCTTCACATAGCCTCTTTTCTTGCTTCGAGATAGGGTCCACCTAGATCTCCACCTCCTCCAGCCTGGGAAGCTAACTTGGAAGCTTTCGTGCTCAGCCTCCAGAGTACTGGGTTTTGGATGGACACCCCCATGCCCAGCCACCTCTGCTTTCTTCTCCTAACTTTTCTTAGCTTTCAACTCAGCATCACCATACTTTTGCATAGACAGCTTTCATTTCTCCTTTCCACTTCTCTGCTTTAAATTTTCTTGCAATAACTTTTTCTTTTATGAGCTATATTCTCAACATGAGAAAAACATCACCATTTTCCTTTATACTGGATGAATGTTGTATAAACATTTTAGTCTAAATACTCTTCTTTTTTACATAACTTCACAAAATAGTCTTTTGGGGCCAGCCTGAGAGCTCAGTGGACTAAAGCGCCTGCGTAGGCAGAGATCAGAGGCCCGGGTTTGATGCCTGGCACGCCATGCCAGTCCCACTCCTGGGGCGTGCTGAGATGGGGATTGAGATTGGGCGTGGTGGTGGCACCTGTAATCCCAGCACTTGAGAGGCCGTGAACAGGAGAATCACTATGAGTCTGATCTAGGTAGTGAGACCCTGAACACCCTGTAGACTCTGTCCTAAATACAGAAGAAGAAAAAAAAAAAAAAAAAACAGTGTTTTGCAACCAGCTTATTTGTTTCCCATTCCTTTCCCCATTTGCAGTATCGAAGAGTGGAGTCTCTGGGGTCCCCCGCAGAGCCATGGACCGTCTCAGTTTCCCTGGAAGGAGCACCAGATTCAGGGCTGAGAGGTCAGTGTCCAAGAGTTTCAGGCACCTGTTACTGCTTGGTACAGAACACATTTGCGTTTGTCTTAGAGCATTATTGTTACGATAGCAAAATACCTAACACTGATAACGTTATATAAAAGCAGGTTTTTTAGCCCGTAATACTAGAGTTTCAAGGTGCATCTCTGATGATGACCTTCTTGCTGGCAGAGTCCCCCGCAGCACAGGGCATCACCTGCCAAGACCCAGGGAGTGAGTGTGTGTGTGTGTGTGTGTGTGTGTGTGTGTGTGTGTGGTCTGTCTATCTGTCTGGATTCTCTTTTCAAAATATCCAGTAAGAGACATTCCACCTCCGCCCTGGTGAGCTTATCTTCTAATCATCTACCAAAGGCCCCTGCTCTGCGCACCACAGCCAGACCGCGTTTCCACCCCCCTAACGTTTCACCAAGGCCCCTGAATTGCAGTGCGTGGCTGCTGGGAGGACACCCTCAATTTCTATCCCGACCACACAGCACCCTTCAGGAATCCCTAGTGAAGTTCATGCTCAACACATCCAGGGATCTTGAGGGATCTTTCATCCCTTCCCATCACTAGGGCCGGTATCACAGAAAGAGAGCTCAGAGTGGCCAGCCATGAGGACTCAAGGCACCACCTTCTCCTTCACCTTTCCTACATAGTAGTAAAGAAGCATTTTCATCAGACCTGTGTTCTCAGTGTGCTGTAAAGAAAGGGGCCCTGGGGCGTGGGCCGCATCGCAAATCCATTTCCCTGCAGAACACCCAGTGCTCCTGTTTATGCAGTGTCATGAGCTGGCCCAGGGAGAAACTTATCCCTTTCAATATGGTTTTATGTGGAATTAGAAATATTTGCTCTCAAAGTTGTGAAGAATAAATGCATTTATCAGTACTAAAGCATCCATCCCAACAGGGTCCTCAGAGTTAGTTTTCTCCTCTCTACTCCATAGTGCGTTCCTTTCCCTTCTGTTCAAACCTGGAGCCACCACGAACTCCAACTACGTTTCTTATAACTTGTGAATGAAAACGCAAGTGGATTTTATTTCAAATACAGATCTCCCAAGTCTTGGTCTAAGAGCGTTGGATTATATATTCTGTGGAGAAACCTGGGCATGTGTGTTTTAGGGTCTGGCCCAGAGAGGAACAGCAGATATTAGATGATTTTGTGGGCAAATATTTTCTGTGTTTTAAATTCTTGACTCTATGGCCCCCCAAATGTATCTGAAATCCAGCATGCTGCAAGACCCCTATGCTCTGTCACAACTCAGAATTCCCTAGGATTTGTTCTCTTGCCACTTATTTTTGCTTCAGAATTAGAAAGTACACATTCTTTTATTATGCAACAGTTCAATTATTAAATTTTTAATGTTTTAAACAGTATAAAAATGTGGTCCTTAGAAACACATAAAAGTAAGCATGACCTGGCTGCTGGGCCTAATTAAAATGAAAGTCTTTTTGTAAGAATGATTTAAGGCAAAAGGAAAAAGGATATTCTGCCTTACATGTGTTGTGACTGTATTCCAATGAGTTACAAGAGCTTCCTGTCCTCTTACCTGCTTTTTGTCAACTGAGCCCCAAATTATTGATCATTTTTCCCATGAGGAGTATTCTCTCTCTTGTATGGAGTCCAGCAGGATAGCTTCCAACACGTGACCCTGTCTGAGAGCTTCAAGCTCTCTCAGTACAGAGGGATTTGCTCTTTGTACAAGGGCCTCAAGATTTTCCCTGGCTGCAGGTAGAATGACATTCTTTTTTCTACCTGGACAGTCTACTTGCTCCCTTCTCTCCAGACAGACCCTAAAAGGCACACCACTGGATCTCTCTGTGGAGTGGCCATCCAACGCCCTTGGGCCAAGTCTTGGGGATCTGTATTTCAAATCTCTTACCTAGGTATGCATGATCATAGTTCAATTCTCAGGTGTTGCCCCGAGGCGAAGAGGATTCATATTAGATCCAACCGATCTAATTAAGAACAGGATGGCTCAATGGAATATTCTAAAATCATTTACACATTTAAATAGAAGGTCACAGATTTTAAAAGTCTGAAAATGCGAACCTGTGAAATCCATTTAATCATTCTAATTAGTTCCAGTGAGTAAATTAATAAAATATCCCATAAACTTAAATTGATTAAATGAATTTTTAAGATAGGTCATAGAAAACATTTTTAGAAAAGAAAGCATTCACTTTCATCCCCACAAATTCAAGTCTAGGTCACCTGCCTCAAAATAGTCCTTGCAGGATAATGTAAGTAAAGGTGTAGAAACAATGATTTTAGTTTTTGTGTTTTTTAACTTAGATTTGTTGGATCATATGACAAAGAGCTAGGAACCAAGAAAATCTCTGAATTGTAGGTTTATACTGCTGTTTTAGCTTAGAAATACTTTGTTAATATTAGCTTAGTTGTTGCATATGATAAATGTGCCGAAGTATGTATATCAAAGAGCTATCTGACAGTAACAGTAAAGAAACAAGAAAGGAATAAAAATTATGTTTTTTACAGTAATCATCTGCAAAGTTCCATGCTATTTACATCTTGTCAATTCTCGTCAATCATTCCTTTTGGAAACACGGCCTAAAGGAGTGGCTACTTATGCAGGATCACATAAATGGCGATGATGCCTGCCCTTTGAGATCTGACAGGAATGGGTTCCCAAGAGATTTCATACTGATTAATCATTGCCAATCTTAAAGTGTTGTACTGAGTATATATCTGCTTGTAATTTCTTGATCAAATATCTTTATCCTTATACAAATTTGAGGATAATAACACTTTAAAGAATGACTGCTTATGTTTTTCATATGCTTCATGGCAACAGCTAGGGTCTTTCTATTGATTTTATGTTTTCTGAAATGTTTTATTTCCAGACTTAGAGGTGATTTCAGTGTCAGTTCATATGTCAGCCTCTCTATAAAATTGCTCATTTTGAAGAATAGGTGCTGACTTTCCACTCATCTCTTGCTCCATCCTAGCTATATGTCTAAGATCCTCCATATGGTTGCTAGCATATTAAATGCTAAACTGAATAAAATACGTCAATCATAGGCATGCTAAATCTTGTCTCTTCTGCTGCATTTATTTTTAGTTAAAAGTCTTTCTATAATCTGGCTCACAATTCCTAGCTATTGTGAGGATATTGTTTTTTCACTTTTTACTATTTGTCTTTAAGAAAGGAAGATATATAATTTATGGTTAAGTTTGCAGATGAAACAGGTTCTATAACTCGATCTCAGATCTCAGGCTTTTTAGTGTCCCCATTTGACTTAGTTCATGCCTTTCATCAACTCCAAAGAAGAGAACTCTCTCCTAAGAACTCTGGAGGAGGCCATCAACATTTGTGATTAAACATTTCATAGCTTCAAAACCCTTACTGCTTAAACTTTATTGTTTTCTTATTAGAGCTATAAATTTTCTACTGTCTCCTTTCAATTTCTCTTTCAATTATTTTGGCTATGATTTCCCTGCTTCACCTACTTATTTATTAAGACGTCAAACCTTTTTCAACTGTACACAGAAATAATTCACTTCCTCTCTTTGCTTCCCTATCACCCTCTCGGCTTTCTCTACACACAATGCAGTTTTACAGGACGGGGAATGCTGTGTGTTTTGAGAGGCTTTTCTCAAAGGCTTTCCAATCTATTTTTGCTCACTTTGTTAAAAATAATGAACAGTGTGCTGACTCTCTTTTGCTCTCAGTCATTTCTTTACCCAAGCAGCAAATGCTATGACTCCTTAAATCTGAAACTCTAAGGAAAAGGACAGCATCAAATGTCCTCTGTACAAATTTTCAAGCAAGCCACACTGCTAAGACAGTAAGGTGAAAGCAAAGCTACCCACAGTGAATGTGGAACTCAAGCTCAGAGCTGCATTAGGAGGTAGCTTCGGACTTCGGCTGTGACGCCGCCATTCTGCCCCCTGCGCCGCGCAGTGCTGTTGCTTTTGGTATTTCTGCACTGCAGATGGCTAGGATGCCGTGCTCACTCCCCTTTTGATCTTACTACGGCAGCGCTGAAATGCTGCCTTCCACAGTGCGTGCACTGGCGTGTGCTTGTAGGCGCCGCACCCCGCCGAGCAACGCCACCCCGACGATGCGCACGGCCCTGAGCGCCAGGTGCATTCTCGCGCTGAGGAGTGTCGTGTCCCCTGGGCCGCTCACCTTCCAGAAGCTCCACCTCTGAACCGTGGGCCTCCTGGGGGACGTCCGAGGTCTAGGCCATGCCAGGAGGCCCCATTCCATACCTCATCAATGCTTCAGCCCCTTTTCAGTACTCAGACCGTCCTTCCTCTCCCGCCTTTACAGTCTGTGTCTCATTCGCCCTTCATGCCTCGCCATACCTCCTACACTACCACATCCAGGGCCTTATCCACGCTCCGTACGTTCTCTTAAGTCATCTCTTGCCCCACTCCTGACACTTGTTCATCCTGGACCTCCCTAGTGTTCCCATCCTAAGGATGTCCTCATGCCCAACTCGGACTCATGCTGCGGCTGTGGAAAACCAGTAAGGCCTGAGGGTGTACTGTTTTAGTCTATTGATATCAAGACACGTGGAGACCAGCAGCTGCACAGGGACCAGCACTATCAGCGTTCTCACTTTGAGGAGATCTTGTGGAAAGTTATGTGGAAGAGGCTGAGACATTTTTCTATGCATTATTCTGTGTGTGTGTGTGTGTGTGTGTGTGTGTGCGCGCGCGCGCACGCGTGCACGCGCAAAATAAATTAAGAAATCATATGTACTTTTCAGTTTTTAAAATGCTCATGTCATGCAAAACACTCTATTTTTCATGAATTAATGTGTCACGGAAAGCCATGATGAAATATTTCTCTTTAACTTCAGAAAGACTGGCACAGAGGCCACTGGGACGGATTAGCTAGCTTCCTCTAAGCACTTCCTAGAGAAAATTAAAGCAACAACTGCAAGTCCACATCTGTTTGTCCAGTCTAAGTCTTTTGTCCTACCATTTAACTTCGTGTTCTTTTCTCTTAGAAGACTCTGCTCAATGAAAAAGATATTTGTTACCAAATGTAACAAAAACCTAAACAGATTTGTATACTCCAAAGAAATTACTTAGGGCCTTTCAGGTCATTTGATATTTAATTATAGAACATTTTTCTAGGAAAGATTTATTAATACTTTTAAATGTAACATCTTATGGGGCATGTCACAGCTTGCTAGTGGATGTAACAAGGGGCGAGCAGAGGACTGAGTTGGGGTGATAGCAAAGGTACTTTAGAAACCATACACTCTGCGGAAGCATATCTGAGAAAGTCTCCCTTGGGGCTGTGTGATCAATTTCTGTGTCACTTCCAGCCCAACACTCTACCTCATCCCATGTTTCCTTGGTCACTACCTTATTCATACCAGCTTGATCGGGGAGCCTGTCACAGCATTTGTGTATTTTATACTAGCTATTCCAAAGATATGATGAGCCCCGGAGTAATGTACTGTACTTGGCAGCAACTGCTTCAGCTCTTGGGCACATATGCTTCAAATCTGAGAATATCATAGATATGTATGGGAATCTTTGTGGAGATCTCTAAGGCAAGCTGGTATTTAACGCAAAAGTAAACCCATTTGGAGCTAAAGCATTTTCCATGAGGCAGTTTGGCGGCTGTTCTATGAGCCACGCTCACTGTGCTCAACGGACACATTCCGATTAAATGCTGCTTTGTATTCTTCCAAAGATGGAAACAATAAGGACGTTTGTCAAAGGAAAAACTGCAACAAACAATTTCAAGTTGAACATCTGTACTCTGCAGTTCGTTGTTTGCAAGACTTTATTGACCATAATTTTGATGCATATAGGTTTTAAAGAGGATAAACTACATTTATCTTGGGCGCCTATCATTTATTTGAGTCTCGGCTTATTTATTTCCATTTTTTCTGGGTGCTTTATTTATTTTGCGAGTCTGAAGAGATGAAAGAAAAGATGTTTTTCAAAAAGGAAGTTTTAGCTCTACAAAATTGATGAAGAAAAACATTGCTTTTACGAAAAAGATTGAGCAATTGAATTGAAAAATGTAACGCTAAGTGTATTATATCATTATGATACCTTTTAGACTTGGAGATCTCAAACTCATTTATAAACTTTAAAACCAGCCTCCCAAGTCTTTGTCCACCATACCAATTGCAGTGACATTTCCAGAGTGAAATTTAGTAGCTATTAATTAGAAAAGTAATGTAGGGATAGTGGAGTCCAAAGATAATTGATGACATTGGAGTGTGACCCTGAGTTGCCTTCTTTCACTTTGTGGTGGATGGCATATTGTTTGAAAGTGTAAGCTTGCTTTTGTGCAGCTAATCAGGGAAAGCAGGGACCAGGAAACCAGGCTGCCAAGCAGAGCACCTGCAGCAGTGTCGTCAGTTGGGATTTGCTGGTGGGGTCCTATCCTGATCTAAGGGTCCAAATCTGCTTCCACCTAAACACAATCACTGAATAAAGAGAGATCCTGACCCTTGGAAAAAAATAGCAAAATCACTTCTTTGTATATATCTAATAATAAAATAGTCAACATTTAGTAGTGGTTAGAAATGCAGACTTCAAAATCAGTCATTTGGGGGCTATAAGTCTCAAGCCCAGCACTGGGTAATTAGAGTTGCTTAGTGTGTTTCTTAATCTGCTGGGCAGTAATGACGGCATAGTTTGTGGGGCTTTTGTGTGGCCATGATACAGTGATGGTCGTAATGCCCAGGGTCTGGCATCTGTAATGCTTAGTACTGGTTAGTCTTTACTGGTCTCTGTTGAATTATTTGGTTCGCAGACTTGCCTAAGAAGAATTTGAAGGTCTGTGTAATTGCTTTAAGTTTTAAACATTTTCCTTTGATGTCCACTCTCCCCTCTTTGGGAAAGACTCGGTCTTGGGGACGCTGGCTGTGCATGGATGGCTGCCACCTACGTTCCACTTTATGCTTGTTCCTAGGGTGCACGCAGGCAGAAACACGGGATGGCTATGTGCGCTTCTCCAACTTGGCTGTCTTGATCTCCGGGCCAGACTGGAACTTCATTTTTACTGTCACGTCCCCTCCAGGTAATTTCAGCAGGGATCTATTTCTTTTGAAAGGTATTCTCTCTTTACCTAGTACTGGACGTGACTTATTTCATAAATAAAGAAGTCATCATGATTTAGGAAGAAAATTCACTTGGTTCTATGATTAAGACTGGAGAACAAAAGATACGTGTCACAATTATTTCTCAGAAACTGTCAAGGCGTGAGAAGCTAGATGTACATTTTCCTCTGGTAAAGCTGAACTTGTGTATTTGACTTATTTTTTTCTATTGCATTTGGTCAGGTAGTAATAAGAAAATTTTAATTTGTGAGGAAGAGATTTGGGCTTTGGGGTATCATGCCTTTCAGTCTGGTTCTCCTCTTGACCTCCTACCTGAAAAATGATGTTTACTAGCATTGTGGCTCTTCAGAAGCACAGGGAGTTGTGTGTAAATTGCTGTAGGAACCAGTTATGCGGAAGAATTAAGTGGTCTTTCATGAATCAGCATTTGGCACTGAGTTATCCAACTCACTAATGAGGGAGACTGGAGAAATACAATTCTGGTTCAGAAAGCATTTGAGGTATAACATCCTATAGCCAGAAATGCTACACTAAGCTTGTCTAGTTGTGCATAAGTCAATAAAATGATAACTTTGTGGTAGCCTGCTTTCAGATATCACTTGTGTCTTCACTGGATAAAAATCAGCAGCAGCTCATCAATATTATACAAATTAACAAACATGTGTCCGATTAATGATAAAGATTATCGTGTGCCTTGAGGCCCACTGACTCCAGAGACTGAGGCAGGAGGATCCTCTGAGCCTGGGACATGAAAACCAGCTTGGGCAACCTACTGAAAATGTTCTTTTTTCTTTTTAAAGGCAAATACTAGGTCAAACAAAAATAATTCTAGAAAATGTGATATAATTTCAATGATCCACTTTGAAAATGGTCCAGTATGACATGGATCAGATCACAGGCATTTTGCTCTTATTTCAAGTTTTAGGGATGACAAGATAGTTCATTGGACTAAGTGCTTACTTAGGCAAGCACAAGGGTGGGGGTTCAATCCCCTGTACTGCAGGCCACACCAGCCCCTCCTGGGGGCGTGCTGAGCTGGCCACAGAGACTGGCTGTGGTGGTGTATGCCTATGATCCCAGCGCTGGGGAGGCTGCCAACAGAGGGCTCACCATGACTCTGAGCAGCATAGTGAGACACTGTACCAATCACATTAAAAAAATGTTTAAAAATCAAGTTTTAGATCATTTTTCTAGGTAAAAGGGGCTGTCGTCCAAAGCAGGGTGGTATGAGCTTTGATCAGAATTTATTGTAGTAATGACCTGCTGCCATTTGTCCCTCCTCAAATATTCCACCTCAGCTTGAGCACACTTATCCCGTTAGGCTTGGGACCTGTGAGGCAGTCCTGAAATCCTCTTTCAGGAGTATGATAAAAAATATGGTAAAGGCTGCAGCTCAATGCCAGCCAATAAAAGAGCAAGCTTGTAAGACCATTAGAGTGGATCACCAGCCACCTTCTTCATCCAGCTGTCAGCTTAGGAATGTGCATAAAAGGTGAGTGTGCTGGGCTAGTTTGGAACACCTAGACTTCCACGGTGAGGCACCTACAGAATCAGAGGGTTTCGGAAAGTGCTAAAACCAACGGGATGAGAGTGTTGTAAGAAAAGTATTTTAGTATTTTAAAAGAATTAATATCAATGAGGTTTTTTAAGTGTAATACATTTTTCAAATTTAAAGTTATTATGTTTTTCAATCACATCTCAAATTGTCCTAATTTTTTTGTATTTTAGGGAAATGTCTACAGGGTGTTCAGGGTCTCACTACTAGATCAGACTCCCAAGAACTGGGATTACAGGCTCATGACATCATATTCAGACTCAATTGCCATCTCATCACGCACTGGGGGTGGGACCGGCATGGCAGGCCTGGGGATTGAACTCCTGGCCCCTGCGCCTGCTTGCAGGTACTTTAATCCCCTCAGCTATTTGACTGGCTCTGCAGCTTGGACTTGTAGTGATCCTCCCGTTTTCGGCATCCCCAGCTCTGATTACTCAGCATGCCCTGGGCAGGGCCAGCGTGGCATACAGGACTGGTGATCAAACCCTGGTTCCTGTACTTGCCAAAGTAGGCTCCTAGTTCACTGAGCTATCTCGCCAGCCCTACATATCCTTTTAATACCTATCAAAGTAGCAAGTTGGCTTCATAGAACAAGTGCAGGGAGAAATGAATTCAGTGTCCTTTCAAGGGTTTTGCTTTAAACTTCAGTTTTTGAATAACTGTGTTTTAGAGTCTCCAATACAGAACTGGGGGCTGGAGAGAGAGCTCAGCAGGCTGAGCACCTGCCTGGCCAGTGCAAGGACCCGGGTTTGATCCCTGGCACCACACAGCCAGCCCTGAAACCCCAGTCCCATTGTGTCAGCCAACAGAACCGGACATGGTGGTGCACACCTGTAATCCCAGCTCTGGGGAGGCTGCGCCAGGAGGGTCACTATGCGTCTGAGCTGTGTCGTGCGACTCTGAATTAAATAAATCAGTAAATAAATGCAGAATTTGGTGTTTTGTCATAGATTTTTGCCTGACATTTAAAAGATCATTGTATTTCATTTCCTCAGAAGGTAGCAAAGAGTAGCCAAATATATCATAAAGATTATTTATAATTTTATAATTATAATTGTATATTAATTGTTTAAATTATTGGGTTTGCCTATGATATGTATATGGTATTGTTCATATTCCCTTTCCCTTTTACAAGTAGTCCCACTACACTACTTCTGTGGGAGCCGACACTTCTCAAAAGAAGAAATACAAATGACCAATAAATGTATGGAATACTTCTCACTGTCCTTCCCCATCAGGGAAACATAGCTGATTAAGGCATTTTAAAGAGCAGGTTATGAAACCAAATGTAAGATGTCTTGCGGACAAAACTCTGCACCTCGTGTGACCATGCGGTGGTGTTGCTATTCAGGCTTCATGGATAACATTTGTGGATTCCCCTTATGTAAAGTAAATCTATGTATTAGTGAGCTGTTAATCCCGTTAGCAAGATGCCCGACACCTGCAGCATGAAAAACAAAGGTCCCCATGGCTCGCAGCTTCAGGGGTTCAGTTCATAGTCACGGACTCCAAGGTCCAACTCGTGGCCGGGGCTTATGTGGAGGGGAGCTGCTCCACACCCAGCAGCCATGAAGCGCAGAGAAGTGTGCAGCTGGGCCAAGAGGGACCCTTCCGGGCACACCCAGTGGCCCACCTCCTCCAGGCAGGCCCCAGCTCCCCAGCACACCCAGCCAGGAGCTCATAAATTCATTAATCTCTTGATCCAATTATCTCCTGAAAGCTCACAAGGGGATTTTTGATCCAAACCATAATAATTAACTGAGGTATATTTTCTTGAAAGTTTTCCTTAAATTATTCTTTGTAATGTTCAAGGCTAAAGCATGATGTGAAGGTTTGTAAGAAGATTTTTCAATAGAATAAATTTTTAAAGAAGAAAGACATTAAACAATTTGTACTTTTGTAAAGCTTCATAGACATCATGAGGATTAATGGTCCAGATCTGAAAAGTGACCCCTTATTTCTAAGGACATCTATCTGAAATACTAAAATGTTTACAGCGAGTCCTTCTTCTGGGTCTTTGAGTGAGAAAATAAACGCTGACTCTATTTGCGTTCTTCAAGTGAAGACAGAGCTTTAAGTTTGTTTGCTTTGAGTGAGCTACTTTTAAAATGGCAGCTGTAAGTAAATCGTGTATAAGTCAAGGTTTTTAGACTTTTTCTATTAAGACATAGTTGTATGATACAATATGCATGTTTCAAGCGTGCCGTTTGATAAGTTTTAGGGCTTGTCTACTCCTGTGAAGCATTTTCACAATTAAGATAATAAATATGCTTAGCACTCCAAGATTTTGTGCAAGTTCTAGATATTTTAATTACTATATGCTAATACTGTTCATTTTAGCATGCAGTATTATAAATTCAAATATATGTGCAGAGTCCCGTAACTACCACCACAATCATGCTATATATTATTTCAGTTACCCATAAGAGCCTCCTTCATTTTATTCTTCTATCCATACATCCTCTTCTCCTTTATACTCCTGGAAATCAGCAGTCCCTATCACCATCTCTGTGCTTGGCATTTTCTAAAATACACAAATGGCTTTGGATACCTTTTACAGGTAGGCTGGGGTTTCTTTTTCCCAGAATAATGCATTCGATATTCATCTTGGCTGTTACATGTGGTTATAATCTTTTATCATTTGTTTCATTCTCCCCCGGCCCTCCCCTCCCCTCCTATCCTTTTTCTTCCCTCTCTTCCCCTTCCTTTCCTCCCCTCCCCTCCTATCTTTTCTGTCTGCTCTCCCCCCTCTTTCCCTTCCTTTCCTTCCCTCACCTTCCTTGCCCTCCCCTCCCCTGTTCTTCCCTTCCCCTCCCCTCCCCTCCCATCCTTCCCATCTTCTCTCCTTCCCTTCCCCTCCCTTTCCTTCCCTCACCTTCTCTGTCCTCCCCTCCCCTCCCATCCTTCCCATCC